ATCCTGGCTGGAACGGGGCATTCCCAGTGGGAACGGGGCATTCCTGGCCAGATCGGGGCATTCTCAGTGGGAACAGGGCATTCGTGCTGGAATGGGCATTCCTGGCTGGAATGGGGCATTCCCAGTAGGAACGGGGCATTCCTGGCTGGAACGGGGCATTCCTGGTGGGAACAGGACATTCCCAGCAGGAACAGGGCATTCCTGGCTGGAACAGGGCATTCCCAGTGGGAAGAGGGCATCCCTGGCTGGAATAGGGCATTCCCAGTGGGAAGAGGGCATCCCTGGCTGGAATAGGGCATTCCCAGTGGGAACGGGGCATTCCTGGCTGGAACGGGGCATTCCCAGTGGGAACAGGGCATTCCTGGCTGGAACGGGGCATTCCCAGTGGGAACGGGGCATTCCTGGCTGGAACGGGGCATTCCCAGTGGGAACAGGGCATTCCTGGCTGGCACTGGGGACATTCTGTGCCAGGGTTCTGGTGCTGATCTCTGGGAAAAAAGAGATTTCCCCACTGCCACCAAGTTTTTCCTGGAGGTTTTTCAATCAGAGCTTGGAAAAAATTCCAAATTTTACAGTGAGGAAAAATTGGGAATTTATTGAGGATTTATTGGGGGTTTATTGGGAATTTGTTGGGGGTTTATTGGGAATTTATTGGGGATTTATTGGAGGTTTATTGGGAATTTATTGGGAATTTATTGGGAATTTATTGGAGGTTTATTGGGAATTTCTAGGAGGTTTATTGGGAGTTTATAGGGGTTTTTTTGGATTATCCTGCACATTTTCCCCTTCCCAACCCCACATCCTGCTGGATCGGGAATGAGCCCTGGATTTACCTGCTGCTGCTGGAGTTGTATCCGTTCTGGTGCCTCAGAGCCTGCAGAACCCAGTCCTGTGTTTGGAATATTCGTTGTTGGAATGTTTCTATTGGAATGTTTGTTATTGGAATATTCCTTATTGGAATATTCCTTATTGGAATGCTTGGAATATTGGAACAGGATTAAATTCCAGTTTGGAGCTGAGAATTGAGGCACTGAGGGGATTTATAGGAAATTTTGGGTGGGAACAGGGAACTGGAACAGGATTGAAGGAACTGGAATGGGATTGAAGGAAATGGAATGGGATTGAAGGAATTGGAATGGGATTGAAGGAAATGGAATGGGATTGAAGGAATTGGAATGGGATTGAAGGAAATGGAATGGGATTGAAGGAATTGGAACAGGATTGAAGGAACTGGAATGGGATTGAAGGAACTGGAATGGGACTGAAGGAACTGGAATGGGATTGAAGGAACTGGAATGGGATTGAAGGAACTGGAATGGGATTGAAGGAACTGGAATGGGATTGAAGGAACTGGAATGGGATTGAAGGAACTGGAATGGGATTGAAGGAACTGGAATGGGATTGAAGGAACTGGAATGGGATTGAAGGAACTGGAATGGGATTGAAGGAACTGGAATGGGATTGAAGGAACTGGAATGGGATTGAAGGAACTGGAATGGGATTGAAGGAACTGGAATGGGATTGAAGGAACTGGGATGGGATTGAAGGAACTGGAAAGGGATTGAAGGAATTGGAATGGGATTGAGTTCCAGTTTGGAGCTGGGAGTTGAGGCACTGAGGGGATTTTTAAGGAAGTTTGGGTGGGGACAGGGAAGTGGAACGGGATTGAAGCTCCGGGAGCAACCTGGGCACTGGGAATTGTCCTGAGCCATGGCTGAGTGAAAGAGATGAGGTTTAAGAGAACAAAGAGGCTTTTTAAGGAAAACTCGATCCTTTCCAAGGCTTTCCCAAAGGTCCTGGGATTGTATCCTTGGAGCTCAGGTCAGGAGCATTCCCAGCTTTGCTTTGGGGCGGATTCCGGGGTTTTGTGCAGTACCTGGGATTTTGCCGAGGGCCACTTGGCTGTGCCAGCTGAGACCTTGTACAAGGATTCCCTGAGGAGAGAAAAACCAGGAATTCTGAGCGTGAGGAGCTTCCCGTGGAGAACGTCCCAGAAATCCCAAAAATTCCCAGGGCAGCTCTTCAGAACCTTGGGAAAAGCTTCCCGATTCAGGTCACAAAATCAGCCCCGAGGTGGCCAGGAAACTGCTCAGGTCAGGAGGAAGATCAGAATTCCCAGGTTTCAAAATCCTGGGAACTTTGGGATGCATCCAAAATGAAAACTTTTGTTGTTTTTGCTTTAAAATTTTCATTTTGAACCCATTCTGCAGTACAAAAAAAAGGTGAAACTAAAAGAATTCAGGCGGAAAAGTGACACAATTTGGGCTGGGCCCTAATTAAATATTCCAGGGTGATTGAAACAATTTCTGCTTTCACAGATAAAGTTCTAATTTAATTAATTTAATTAAATTAAATTTTTATTTATTGTATTATATTTTATTTACTGCTCCCATCTTTTTAGTTTAAATTGAATTTTAATTTAGTTTAAACAGAAATAGGAATAATTTTGGGGTGAATTTTAATTTAACTTAAATAGAAATAGGAATAATGTTCGGTTGAATTTTAATTTATTAGATTTATTATTTAATAATTTAAATTTATTATTTAATTTTAGAAAAAAAATTGGTTGGATTATAATTTCATTTAAACAGAAATAGAAATAAATTCTGGTTGAATTTTAATTTAGACAAATAGAAAAAAGGTTTGGTTAAATTTTAATTTAACTTAAATAGAACTAGGAATAATTTTTGGTTGAATGTTAATTTATTACATTTATTATTTAATAATTTAAATTTATTATTTAATTTTAGAAAAAAAATTGGTTGGATTATAATTTCATTTAAACAGAAATAGAAATAAATTTTGGTTGAATTTTAATTTAAAGAAATGGAAAAAAAGTTTGGTTGAATTTGAATTTCATTTAAACAGAAATAGAAATAAATTGGGTTTGAATTTTAATTTCCTTTTTCGTTCCTTTTACAGAAATTCAATTTCAATTCCATTTTAATTGAAAGTTCCCAGCTTGGTCACACTGGGGTGCAAGAACCCCCTGATTCCATCGTATCCATGGATTTCCCGCGGAATTCCTGGCATTCCCGGCTGTTCTGGCGCAGTTGGACTGACCTGCAGGGCTTGGGGCACTGCTGGAAGCAATCCAGGCGGTGGCTCCGGAGCCGGCGGTACAGTTGGTAGAAGCAGTGCCCTGGGAAAGGGGAACGGGCTGAGGAATTCCCTCTGCCTTTACAAGAATTCCAGAGGCACGGCCCGAGCGCGACCCACCGAGTTCCAGGAAAAGAATCGCAATTCAATCCTCAAATCCCAGGATTTGGAGCTGGAAGGGATCTTAAAGATCAATTCCTGCCCCATCCACGGGTGGGGATATTCCCATTTATCCCGATCCACATTCCCACGATCCCAGAGTGCCCACGACTCTTCCGGGGGTGGGGCGGCCACAAATTCTCTGGGAATTCTATCCCATATTTATGAATTTCAGCCATAAATTTCTTCCAGGTACTGAGGAGATGAAGGAGTCGGACCCCAATTCCTTAAAAAGGATTTTCCAGCTCAATTTGATATCCACAAAAAAGTGCCTGGGATGCAGCTGGAATTCAGGGATTCAAGGAATGTTTGGAAAACACTCTGAGGGACAGCGTGGGGGTTTTGGGATGTCTGGGCAGGGCCAGGAGCTGGATCCACGATCCCTTAAACTCAGGATATTCTGGAATTCCATGGATCCACGATCCTTTAAACTCAGGATATTCTGGAATTCCATGGATCCACGAGAGGGAAGAGCCTCAGCAGAGCATGGGAGTGATCCAAGGAATCCAGGGAGGGATTCAGGAATGTGTTCCTTTTTCAGGGATTTTCTAGGGATTCAGGACAAGGGATTTTTCAGGGGTTCAGGAGTTTCCTGGGATTTTCCAGAAATCCAGGAATGTGTCCCCTGTTCCTGGAATTCAGGAATTTCCTGGGATTTTCCTGGGCCTCAGGAATTCCCGGGATTTTTTCCAGACTTGGGCATTCCTGGGATTTTCCCAGACTCAGGATTTCCTGGGCTTTTCCTCGGCCTCAGGAATTGCGGGGATTTTCCAGGACTCCAGAACTGCTGAGATTCCCGGGCCTTGGGAATTCCTGGATTTCCCAGCCTCAGGACTCGCGGGATGCGGGAGCAGCCCTTACCCCAGGCCGGGTGCACGCCGTAGTCGCAGTGCCGTGCTCTCCCGGCGGGCAGCGGGTACCGGGAATAGCCACAGCCGCACTCGCGGAGCATCCAGCGCTGGAAGCAGGAGTGCAGGCAGGCCTGGCGGGAAAACGGGAAACAAACACATCGGGATAAACCAAAACAAATTCCGGTTCTGTGGGAATGCAGCTTGGAGGGGAAAAAGGCAAAATAATGGAATGTTTCGACTGGAATGTTTCTTACTGGGATGGTTGGCACTGGATTGTTTCCATTGGAATTTTTCCTATTGGAATGTTTCTACTGGAATATTTCTTATTGGAATTCTTGTTATTGGAATTTTTGTTGTTGCAATGTTTCCATTGGAATTTTTGTCGTTGGAATGTTTCCATTGGAATTTTTGTCGTTGGAATGTTTCCATTGGAATGGTTGTTATGGGAATGTTTCCATTGGAATGTTTCCATTGGAATGGTTGTTATGGGAATGTTCCCATTGGAATGTTCCCATTGGAATGGTTGTTATGGGAACGTTTCCATTGGAATGGTTGTTATGGGAATGTTTCCATTGGAATGTTTCCATTGGAATGTTCCCATTGGGAAGGTTGTTTCGGGAATGCTTGGTGGATGCTGCTCAGTGACACCTCCAGGAGCAGCCCACAGGCGGAGCCAGGAGCAATTCCTGCCGGGATCAGGGGCCAGAGTGCCCGGAGCTCCCTGGGGCCTGTGGCTGCCACGGCTCCTGGGGCTCCTCCCAATCCCCAATTCCCGTTGGGGAGCTCCTTGGGCCTGAAACGTCCAGGAGAGGAAGGAACGAGCTGCTGGCTCCTGACGCAGCCTGGCTGAGCCGGGCTTAGCTAAACTGGGTTTGGCCAAGCTGGGCTCAGCAGTACCTGCAGCGTGTAGGAGTCCTGGCTGAGGTGGGTTTAGCTAAGCTGGGTTTGGCTAAGCTGGGCTCAGCAGTACCTGCAGCGTGTAGGAGTCCTGGCTGAGGCGGGTTTGGCTAAGCTGGGTTTGGCTAAGCCGGGCTCAGCAGTACCTGCAGCGTGTAGGAGCTGTTGTAGAGCAGCTCCACGGCCACGCCGGCGCCGTTGGTGGTGCACTTGCCGTAATTGCCACCCAGGCGATTCACCTCGTCCTGTGGGCACAGAAAGGAGCCACGAGTGATTAATTGGCAGGGTTAATTGGAGCCCCGAGTGATTAGCAGGGTTAATTAGAGCCCTCAGTGATTAGCAGCATTAATTAGAGCCAGCCATCACCCTCTGGGCCTCACTGCAGGCAGCAGGGCTGGACCTTGGCAATAAATATCAGGGAAACAATAGAAATTAATGTTGTATATATGCTTAACATGCAATATATTATATACATTAGTATTATCTATTTTATCTAAATTCTATATTTTCTATATTTATCTATGTTATATATAATATTTTATATATTTTATAGAATTATCTATTATTATATTTAAATATTAAAAATATAATAGTATATATTTTTATAGTTATTTTATATTTATAACATATAAATATTTTATATCTATAAATTATTATATATATAATATTTTATGTGCTATATATTACACATATATGTATTTATATATCTGGATTGCCACATTTGGGATGATTTGATTTGGACCTGAGCCCAGTGAGGAGAGGAAATAAATCCCTCCTGGATGTTTGTTCTCATCCCAGTTCAGCTCCTTGGGAAGAGCTGGGGTGGGATCTAAGAGGAGCAGAAGCCTCCAAAGTGGGAATCAGTGGGAATCTCCAATGTTTTGAGAGCTGGAAGAACACTTGGGATCATTTTAGTTGGACCTGGGCCCAGCGAGGAGAGGAAGGAGAGGACCCTGAGCCTGCTGGGGGTCCCTGAGCCACCGGGGGTGACATTCCCAGGCCACGTTTGGGATGATTGGAGTTGGACTTGAGCACAAGGAGAGGAAGAAGAGAGGAAGGAGAGGACCCTGAGCCTGCAGAGGGGCCATCCCAGGCCTTGGGGTGGTGCCCAAACCTGCTGGACTCCAAAAGACCACATTTGGGATGACTGGAGTCACCCAGGCAGGATCTGTGTCCCAGAGGGGCCGTTCCAGGCCATGTTTGGGATGACTGGAGTCACCCAGGCAGGCTCTGTGTCCGAGAGGGGCCATTCCAGGCCATATTTGGGATGATTGGAGCTGGCCCTGTCAGGATCTGTGTCCCAGAGGGGCCATTCCCACCTGCTGGATGCCGATGGTGGTGGCGATGCCCGGGCGGATGTGGAAGCCCTCATGCTCCAGGAACGGGGTCTGGTTGTGGCTGTGGATCATCACCTTGACGCCGGCGGCGGTGGAGAGCAGCGGGATGTGCTCCTTCTGCTCGGCCCGCAGGATGAGGGACAGCCCTGCCGAGCACACAGAGGGGATTCGGCTGCAAGGAGAACCTCTGGAATTCTCAGCGTTGGGCAAATCCCTCAGCTTTGGGCTTGGATCCCAGGTTTGGATTCTGGGATCCCTCGTTTTGGATCCCTCAAGAGCCATTTGTATTCCTTGGATCCCTGGTGACAACGGCAGCTGCTCCAAACCCTCAACAGTCCCATGATAAATATAACAATAATAAAATATAATAATATCATAATAATATAATAGCCCTATAAATAAAACCCAGTAAAACCAGATTTGGATTCTGGGATCTCTCATTTTGGATCCTAGAAAAGCCATTTTTACTCCTTAGAGCCCTGGTGACAGTGGCAGCTGCTCCAAACCCTCAAAGTCACATAATAAATATAATATATAATAAATATAAATATAAATATAAATTATTATTATCATTAATAGTAATAATAGTAATAGTAGTAATAGTAGTAGTAATAATAATAATAATAATAATAATAATAATAACCCTATAAATAAACCCAGATTTGGATTGTGGGATCCCTAATTTTGGATCCCAGAAAAACACAGAAAATTTTTAATCCTTAATGCCCTGGTTACAATGGCAGCTATTCCAAACCCTCAATAATCCCATAATAAATACAATAAATATAATAAAAAGAAAAATAATTCATACATAATAAATAATAATAATAACCCTATAGATAAAACCCAATAAACCCAGATTTGGATTGTGGGATCCCTCATTTTGGATCCTAGAAAAGCCATTTTTACTCCTTAGAGCCCTGGTGACAAAGGCAACTATTTCAAACCCTCAATAATCCCATAAAGAATAGTAAATAACAAATAATAATAATAACCCTATAAATAAAACCCAAGAAAGCCAAATATTCTGCAATAAAGACTGTATGAATTTTCTGCTCAAAACCAAAAAAGAATATTCTGCTTTTTGAGGCCCAGCTGTGGCTGGCATGGCTGGCACACAAGCCAACAATTTGTGCCACCAGAGCAAAAGAGAGGCCTAAATTCATCACTAAATCCTGCACTGAAGACAAATTTCATTAATTACCTTAATTTTAGCTCTTTTCCCCCATTTTGGCAGCTCACTCACCATAAGGAATTCCTGGTTTGGTGGCTGTCCAGAAGGGATCTGTCCCCTTGCTGTTCAAAGTGTAGCAGCTCCCAAAAACTGGGTGGTGGAAGTGATCGTAATCACTGGGAAATCAAGAGAGATTTGATGGAGTTTTGATTTTGAGGTTGGCAACACTTTAATTCAATGCTGGATGAGTTTGGGAAAATGGGAATGAGCTGTGAATTCCCTGGCAATCCAAATTTCCACCCACCTGGGCCTGCAGGGCTCCCCGTTGTACTGGCAGGAGTAAACCACGTCCTCGATGGGCTCCTCGTGCTGGGAAATGTTGATGATGGCAGGCAGCTGGGACATGATGTTCATGTAGTGGAACCTGTACCACTCCAGGATGGCATCCATGCCCGAGGAAAAGGTCTTGTAGAAACAATTCCCGCCTGTGGAATTGCACTGGGAGAGAGGGGAAAAACTCAGGATGGCAGGAAAAAAGTGGGTACGGGAATGAGGGGAACCATTGTTTTCCCCCAAAGGGGAAATTTTTTGAGTATTTCAGGGATTTTCTGCTTGAGCTGCTTCATCCTCAGCAGGAGGAGGGAGCAGGAGCTTGGGATGACAAAGGTGGGAATTTTCTCCGGGAGCAGAGCCCAGAGAGAATTTCTCTGTTCTCTGTTCGTACTCAGGGTTCTGGAGAAGGTTTGGCTGGTCCAGAACAGGGATGGGGGACAAAAATCACCCCAAAATTGCTGAAGGATTCTGGGACAGGGCAAGGATCAAAAACCACCCAAAAAATGCTGGTGAGAGACTGCAGGAAAGGGCAGGGGTTCAATAATCACCCCAAAATTCCTGAAGGACTCCAGCAAAGGGCAGGTGTTCAATAATCATCCCAAAAGTGTTGCTCTTTCTGGCCACACCAATCCCTAAGACAGGGATGGATGGAATGAGGCAGGGATGGAGGAACTGCCCTGAACCATCCCCCAGTCTCTCATTTCCCAGCTCTGGAATCAGCAAATCTCTTTTTTCACTCTTTCTTGTTGGTTTTTTGGGTTTTTTTAATATACCTTGGAAGACCCTGAGCAGCCTCAGCTGAGCTTCCAGCCACACTTCCAGGAGCAAACTGAACCCCAGCTGGGAATCCCAGCCCAAATTTGGGATGTGGGACAGAGCTGCTTCCTCAGCACAGATTCAGATTTTTGTCCTGCTCATAAATTTCCCTCAGGTCCACAATTTTAGAACTCAGTTTTTAGAATTCAATTCTTTATCCACACCCTAATTTGGCTCATCCCCTCTGGAGGTGTGTTTCTCCATTTCCATCCCAAAAGTCCTGTCTGGACCTCCTGTATTTCATCTTGGAGAAGAGTTCCAAGAGAAATTTCATCCTGTTTATTCTGCAGAGTGAGATCCTGCAGCAAAAATTAAAACCAGGTTCCGATTCAACCGCTTCCAAGTTGAACTTTTCCTAATTCTTTGCCATAAGGATGAAGCCGTAGGGGTGGTTTTGAGCCTCTCCTGTTCTAGGCCCGTAGAACAAGAATAAATAATAAATAATAATAACATTGAAAGCAGAATATCCCACTAGAAATCTTCCCCTAATCATGGATTACAAATCTGTGTGGATTCACAATGGCTTGATACTTCAGGAATAAACCCTGCTCCTTGGAGTTCTTGGAAAGAAGAAAATTCCCAACCTGATGAGCTGAACCCTTGGTTGGAGCTGGACACCACCCTGAGCTCTCCCAGGAATTCTGGGGTGAATCCTCAGTCCCAGGTATTTTGAGATGAATCCCAATCCCAAGTTTTTTGGGGTGAATCCCCATGGCCATCCAGGTTCCCTGGGGGAACACCCAGAGCTCCTGTCCCTGCTCAAATCCTGGTGAAATCCCACTCACCAGCTGGAATCCCACGCTGGAATGTTTCCTGCCTGCCCTGAGGTCAGACACCCTCAGTAGGGAGAAGTTGTGGCTGAGTTTGAAGCCGGAGCTGTTGAGCTTGGCCAAGGCCTGGGCATGGATTTTCCTGTCGCTCTCCTGGATTTTCCTGTCACTCTCCTGGATTTTCCTGTTGCTCTCCTGGATTTTCCTGTCACTCTCCTGGATTTTCCTGTCGCTCTCCTGGATTTTCCTGTCGCTCTCCTGGATTTTCCTGTCCCTCTCCTGGATTTTCCTGTCACTCTCCTGGATTTTCCTGTCACTCTCCTGGATTTTCCTGTCGCTCCTGTGGATTTTCCTGTCCTTGATGCGGATTTTCCTGTCGTTCTCATGGATTTTCCTGTCTTTGTTGCGGGTTTTCTCGTTGTTCCTGTGGATTTTCCTGTTGTTCCCATGGATTTTGCTGGCATTGACGCGGAATAGCCTGGCCGAGGCGTTGATGCCGTACAAAAAGGTGATGGATTCCGCTGCCATCCGGTCCAGCTGCTCCAGGTGCTCGCTGACCAGCTCAAACCTGCCAGGCACGGCATTCACGTGGATTCGTGAAATCAAATACCGTAAAGAAAATCCACTAATTAAATTAATTAATTCAATGGAATCCACATTTCTAATCACTTTGTGCCCTCACAGGAGCTGTGGAAAGGTTATTCCTTGGTGGCTGTGGGAGAATATCCCAAAATTCTGCAGCTCAGCACGCCTCACTTGAATAATATTCATTTAATATTATAATAATTAACAAATAATAATTAATTTCAAGAAATTCTGCTACTTAATTATTATTAAAATAACTATATTAATTATATAATTACATAAGCAGAAATTCTGCTGATTATTATTCTTCAATTAATAATATTAGTTTAATTAATTAAATATTAATTTGATCTAATAAATTATTTTTTAATTTATATTTATACATAAATAATTTTATAATAACATTATAAATCCATAATAAATAATTTAATTAACTTATTATTTAATTAACATATTTAATTAAAATTTATTTTTATTAGACTTAAACTTTATAATTAATGAATATTTGTTATTATTTAAGCATTCTAGTTATATATATATAAAAAATATATATAATATTATTATAATTAATTAATATTAATTGAAATATTTAATATCCTATGGGATGAATCCCTGACCCTTCCCAAACCTCTAGGATCACCCAGGTGTGCTGGAAAGAAGCTGGGGATGACTGAAGCCCCTTGTCCATCCTGGGGGATGAATCCCCAACCCTTCCCAAACTCTTGGGATGTATCCCTGACCATTCCCAACCCTCTGAGATCCATCCCTGACCTTTCCCAACCCCCTGGCTCCATCCAGGTGTGCCGCAGGTGGCCCAGCTCACCTGTAGGGATGCAGGTTGCAGACGGTGACAGCCGGGAACATTTTGGGCTCGGAGTGCATGGACATGGTGAGCACCACAGGGTAGGCCCAGAACTGGCGGAACATGAGGCCGAACTGCCAGTAGAGCATCCCGAAGCTGGCCAGCAGCAGCAGCGTCCAGAACGCCGTCTTCATGCGGTTGCTGCCGGAGCACACCAGGCGGATGGTGCCGTGGATCGTGGTGTTCTTGCAGAAGAACTCGAACATCTCCCTGAAGGAGCCGTAGAACTCGATCAGCCCTTCCTGCCGCGCTTCTCCTCGCGGTGGCTCCATCCTCTAAGTGTCCTCCTGGCCATGGGAACAAATGGGAAAAGCTTGTTAATCTGAGGGAAGAGCTTTTCCAAGTGGCCTTTCCAAAGAGACCTTTTCCAGACAGGCCTTTTCCCTTTTCCAAAGACACCTTTTCCACATGGGCCTTTTTCAAATAGGACTTTTTCAAATAGGTTTTTTTTTCCAAAGAAGCCTTTTCCAAAAATATCTTTTCCAAAGAGGCCTTTTCCAAAGAAGCCTTTTCCAAAGAGGCTTTTCCAAAGAGGCTTTTCAATCCCATCCCTTTTCCAAAGAGACTTCTTTCAAATGGGTTTTTCCAAAAATGCCTTTTCCAAAGAGGCATTTCCAAACAGGCTTTTCCAAAGAAGCCTTTTCCAAACAGGCATTTCCCAAATGGGCCTTTTCCAAAAATGCCTTTTCCAAAGAGGCTTTTTCCAAAAAGGCTTCTTCCAAAGAGGCCTTTTCCAAATGGACTTTTTCAAACAGGCTTCTTCCAAAGAAACCTTTTCCAAAGAAACCTTTTCCAAACAGGCTTTTCCAAACAGGCTTTTCCAAACAGGCTTTTCCAAATGGGCTCTTCCCAAAGAGTCTTTTCCAAACAGGCTTTTCCAAGGAGGCCCCAGATCAGTTTGTAATTAGGAAAACCTGCCATGAAAGTGCAGAGAACCTGAATCCAGGATGATCCCCAGAATCTGGATCCAGGAAGGAGCAAAGAACTCAAATTCTGCTGCTGCTGAGGAATTGGGAGTTGTTTTCCCACACTTCCACAGGATTTCTCTGCCAGTGTGGATTTGGGACTAATTCTGGGAAGCTTGAGACCAGAAAAAGTCAGGAATTTTCTTCTTTCCAAGAACTCCAAGGAGCAGGGTTTATTCCTGAAGTATCAAGCCATTGTGAATCCACACAGATTTGTAATCCATGATTAGGGGAAAATTTCTAGTGGGATATTCTGCTTTCAATGTTGTTATTATTTATTATTTATTCTTGTTCTACAGGCCTAGAACAGGAGAGGCTCAAAACCACCCCTACGGCTTCATCCTTATGGCAAAGAATTAGGAAAAGTTCAACTTGGAAGGTTGAATCAGAACCTGGTTTTAATTTTTGCTGCAGGATCTCACTCTGCAGAATAAACAGGATGAAATTTCTCTTGGAACTCTTCTCCAAGATGAAATACAGGAGGTCCAGACAGGACTTTTGGGATGGAAATGGAGAAACACACCTCCAGAGGGGATGAGCCAAACTAGGGTGTGGATAAAGAATTGAATTATAGAAATTGAATTCTAAACCTGTAGAAACAACTGGAAATAAAATAAAACTGCTCTCAGGTGTTTCTGAAGACCACCAGAATATTAATTAATGTTATTAACAGTGATTTTGCCACATTAATATGAATTTAAGTCTTTGTATTTTACATCAGTGAAAAGGCAGCACAGAAATTAAAAATCACTCAAAAGAGCGGCATAAATAAAAATAAAATCCAGATTTTTTTATCTCCCGGTAATTAAAGCTATTCCAGGGATAATTCCAGCCTTTGTGAGCATGGACAACTGGCTCTGGTGGCAGTTTGGGACACCAGAGTGACGTTGGCACATTTCCACGTCTGGAACATGACACGGAGTAAGGTGAGAATTTCCAACATGACAGCAGCATGTGAATCACCCTTCTCATTATGTCATTAAAAGAAGTTTACTGAGTCCAAACTTTGGAACAACCTTAGCTCCAAATAACAAAAAAGTTAGGGATACAGGAATAGAGTTTGAAATTGAGGAGAGCAGAAACAACTAAAGAATTGTTGGAAGAGGTTCTGTGCTAATGAAATTAAAGCTCTGAGTCTTTATCTGTGAGAAAATGTGGAAATAAAAGGAATAATTACCCAAAGTCAATGCTAAAAGAATGAATCAAACAGTTTAATCTCTAATTTTGACTCAAAAACCCCCAGATAAAGCCTGGTTTTCAGAAATAATTCAGTTTTCAGGTGTTCTGAGTGGGATTTTAAGTTTGTGGTGAATTCATCTTCTTTATATCTGCATTATTCAAATTAATATAATGAAAAAAAAAATTAATAAGGGAAAATAATTCAGAAACAATCTGGGAAACAGCACAACCCAACATTTCCAGCTATAAATACAAAATTAAACATTAAGAAATCAGATTCCAACCAAATTGGAGCCCCTCCCCCACTGTACCTTGGCAGAAACTCTGATCTCTGAGCGTGTAGAAAAGCCACTAAACCCAGCCCTGGGCTTAATCCTGAGCAGAAGTCAAGTCCTGTCCCAAAGTTGTGGGATTTGGGAGTGCAGAGCTCTTGGGAGCTGTCCAGCCTTTATGGAGGGAATTGATGACATCAAAAGGGGCAGGACTTGAGGGAGAGCTCATGGAAATTATTCAAAGCATGATCCAGGGAATAATAGGAAGTGAATAAACTGGCCAAACGGGTTAATGTGGAGCTTGAGCTGGGTTTAAGTGCTGCTGGCATGTCCACCTTGATTTTCTTCCCTCATGATCGAAGTCATAGTTTCTAGGGAAATAACCATGGACTCCAGGATGTTCTTCCCACTCTGGATTTTCCCATCTAGGGAGGACCTTTCTGCCTTCATTCCTTGTTTTCCAGAGCCTGGCAGGATCCCAGGGAAGCAAAGCCAACAAAGTGTGCTTGAAGAATTGCATTCCTTGGTGCAATCTCAACTGATCAGCAGGGATTTCCTCCTGATTCTCCAAGAATAGTGCTCATCCCATCCCATCCCATCCCAATCCCATCCCAATCCCATCCCCATCCAGGATTCAGGTGCTGAGATGAAAACAGAAACAAATCAACCCTGTTCAAATCCAGTTTTGGGGATGCGGTTCAGTTAAAGAGTGGCAGAAGTGATGGAGAAATGGATTCAAGGCATCTTGGAGACTTTTCATGATTATTTTTGATCCTTTCCCACGTGGAAAACAGCTCTGCAGGGAGTTTTGTGTGAAAATAGGAATATTTGGATTCCAGATGGAGTTTAGAGCCCCAAATCAGAGCCTGCCTTTCCAAATTGGATTTTCTCTCCCACTGTAAGCTGTGAAATATCAGCATTTGCAAACAAACAATGGGAATTTCTTGTGAAATTTGATTCAGAAAGAAGGGAGAAAGGACAAAGGTGAAGAGAAGCAAACTTCCCTGATTTCAACTGATTTCAGTCCTACTTACATTTGATTCATGCTGGATTTTGTTCCAGAAACCCCTAAATGTGTAGAATGTTCCTCTCAAATTTTTAAATTATTATTTGAACAATTAAACTATTCAAATCCTAGGATGCTGTTTTACCCCTCTTTAATATTAAAAGAAAGTTTCACAAAACATACCTGGAACCTGGTCTAAATAAAAAAAACAAAACAAACAATTATTTTAGAAACTTTTAATTAAAAATTTTAATTCAGAAATTTTTACAATTTTAATAATTTAATTTTTAATTCAAAAAGAAACCCAATTGAACGAAGAGCTGCAGCAGAGCCATGTGAAGAGTTAATTAGCTAAAATCTCATTAAAAACCTCCCAGCACTGTGAAACTCATTCTGTTCGTGTCTCTCTGTCCCCCACCCTTCCTTCTCTCTCCATCCCGCGTTGTGCAATGGAAAATGCAACAATCAATCCCTGACAATGGAATTATTGCACAAGGAGCAGGAACGATTCAGCTCCTGTTGCCTCACAATGGCAGCACCTCAGAAAAAAATCCCTGCAGAGTTTCCTCCAGGATTTCTTTTTTTCCCTACAGGGAAATAGGGAAAAAACTGGATCAGCATCACTGAAAAAAGATCCCAGTTCAGTTGGCTCATTTTTATGGATCCTGAACTGGGAGAGAAGGGGGGGGAAACTCCTTCACTGCTTAAAAATGTGGTGTTTTTCTCTTTTTAAGACGCAGAGATTGTGGAGATAAGAGCCCTGAGAAAGTCCTGTGGGGTTGCAGGGCTGTAATTAGAAATTCTGAGTAAGAAATGTTGATTAGGGCTTGTAAGGGAGGGAAGGAGAAAATGTTTTGTGTGTCCTGAGGAGCAGAAACTCCAGACATGTCCAGAAGGTTCCTTTTCCCACTGGGTCTTTTTAATCTGTTCATTTTCATGGAATCACATCCTATTTAATTGATGAAGGCAGTAGAGATAAAGAAAATGAAGGAATTTTGCCATTTTGCTTGGAAGTTTTCACATATGAACTGTGCAAACTCTTCCCTTCATTATCAGTATATTAGAATATTTATTTATGGATGATAAAACGGTTCTCAGCTAGCTGATAAACTACTGAAACAGAAATAAATACCAAATTATAACAAGATGCCAATAAAAGCCAGCCAGAGTAGCAGGAGAGTCCCACGGATTATTCTGCAGGCACTAACGGAGATTTTAGCTCCCTCACCTAAAAGTGAGTCAGTGAATTCACATTCCTGGTGGGATGGACTCATGAAATCACGGAAATCTTCTGTCAAACAGGTGGTTTTTTTGTTCTTGAATATTTCCTTACACCTGAAAAATGTTTTGGAGAGGTTTGAGTGAAAGGAGAGGCTCAGCTCATCCTCTAGAACTCAAAGATTAAAATATTTTGCCCAATTGAAAATTCCCAGAACAATAGAGGAGGGTCTGGCAGGGCAGGGGTGTGAAAATCCCACCTGAGCTCATTCCAGCCTCTCATTCCTGCAGATTTTCCTTAAGAGACTCTGGAAAAATTCCAATTCCAGCTTTCCCTGGGCCTCTCCACACTGAGGCTCTGCTGGAATTTGCTGTCCACTGACCAACTCGCCTTGGGATGAACTTTCTCCCTGGCTGCGTTCGTCTCAAATTATCCTGCGCTGTTTCCTGACTTTCCATTGCTGTGTTTTCCAGAGATTCCCACTTTTTCCTTTGGATTGGGAACACAGAAAGCCAGCCCTGGGAATCCCCGTGCTCCAGCAGAGGCGGGGATGCAGAGGAGGAGAAATCCTGCCCTGGGGAGGCTTTGCAGCCACTTTAATCTCGAGTTTAGCAGAGCTGGCTTTACTCAC